AGCTGCAGGGGCGGTCGCCGTGCCCCGTGGAAAGGTCGCACGACCGCCCGGGGCTGAAGAGGGTCGTCGGTGCCCCCAGTGGCAGGGCCTTTGGGCGCTCCCCGCGTCCCTCACCCTGCATTTCCTCCTCTGTGTTCTCCCAACGCAGGCCTTGCTCCCTCCCCCGCACACCGGTGCAAAACTCCAGAAAATATGCCGTGACATCGATTAGTCGGCCGCAAAACTTTTACCAGTTCAGTGTAAACAATTACATTTCTTTCACCCAAACCTTTGTAGTTGGTGGGAGTTGGTAAGCGTCATCTCTGAAGTTTGAAAGTGTTCTCTCTTCAGAGGTCACCTTTCGGGCTCCTCTGACTCCCACGGTCGGAACTGGACTCCAGGTGTTTTCACCTTCCGTACAGTTCAGTCCCGGGCAGCGGCCTGTTTCTTCCAGCCTCTGTCTGCAGCTGCCTGCCCACCCGTGCAGACTCTGGGCTGTTGAGTAGCACACCTACTGGCACTGTGCATGAGTAGGATTTCCAGAGCCCGAAGGAGAGCTCGTGTTTTTCTATCTCTAGGGTCATTGTGTCAATTTATAAACGGATGGACTTTTTCTTTACCTATCGATAGTGGGATTTTAGCTAGAACAATTTATGTGGTATAAGTCACATTTGTTTTCCATAATGAAAATAATTTTGTTTTATTCTTTTCAGGGTTGGCAAACCTTACAGCCTGTGGGACTGCCGCCGCTTTGTAAATAAAGTTTTTATTGGCATTTAGCCATGTGCGCTTGTTTAGGTACTGTCTCTGCTTGCCTTTGCAGTTCAGCAACAGAGTTGAGGAGTTGTGGCACAGACCCACATGGCTGGCAAAGCCTAGAATGTTTACTATCTGGCCCTAATAGAAAATATTGGCTGGTCTCTACGTTATTAAAAATAATGTATATTTGCGCCAGCAGGTGGTGGTGTGGTTAAGGGCGCTAGACCCCCACATGGGCCGCTGTGGTTCGAGTCCTGGACCTGGCGGCTTGCTTTCTCACTTTCTCTTTCTTTCTCTCTCTAGCCTTCTCTGGACAAATTGAAATAAGTAAATAAATAAATAAAGTTAAATAAAAAACTTTTTAAAAAAATGATGTATATTCAGTTTAAGAAATTAAAATGAACAGAAGAATATAAAGGAGAAAGTAAAAATTATCCAGAATTATACCATTCAGAGATTTTGTGTGTATGTGTGTGTGATTGGTTATTCTTATGGAATCCGATGGTGAGTATTTTTATATAAATAGGTTCATTATATTGTTATTTTGTTTGTTTTTAGAGGTTTTTCCACTTTAGGCCCATTACTCTGCAAGGCTGGGGGAGTGAGTAGTTGAGGGAGGGAGAAGGGTGAACACAGAGACAGTGAGAGGGAAAGTGAGAAATCATCCCGGGGGATGGCCACACTGCAATCCTTTTCCTCCATCCTCCTCCCAGGATTTTGGGCCTGCATGCAGGCACATGCGCCTGGCGTGAGCCCCCCAGGTCCAGGGCTCAGACTGTAGTTGGCTGTGCGGGAGTCCAGTGATGTAACTGCTACACCATCTTCTAGCCCCCTAAATGTTAGTTTGTAATCTGCTTTTGAATGCTTTTGTATATTTTTTACATTGAAGACCACTAGAGAGGGCCTTGATGAACTGAGTTAAGATTTGTCTTTCCAGTCAAGATTCAAGAAGAGGAGCCAGATAGCAGTGCGGAAGTAAAACATGCTCTGCAAGGCAGACCCACTCGGGCAGGTTACCTGTTGGTGCGATCCCTGTCAGTACGCTGGGGAGGCACGTAGACATGACCTGGGCAGCCCGGGAGTGTGAGTCCTGGTGTCCCGACTCTGTCAGGGATGCTGTATCTCTCTTCCTTTTCTCTCTTGTTCATGACACAAACTTTAAAAAGACATGAAAAGAATATCCAGGAGTAATAGATGCT